TCCTCCAATATTTTGTTATGGTACGGGAAGTTCCAGCAATTTGCCTCAAGGCAAAATTTTATACTTTTATTTTTTGACAATATTTTTTGTATTTAACGTGTATTATTTTAATTGAATAAATAAGGGTGATTATTAACATTAGAAAAAATCTAAACTACAAATTAATACTAATTTGATATGGAAGAGTCTTTTGATTTAATTACAACGGTTTAAAGGTTTTACTTTTTATGAACAAAATTGAATTATGCTCGCCTTATTATTTTTTTTACTATTTTGTGAAATTTTAATTGGGTTTTCTCATGTAGATTATAATGTTAATTCTGTATTTTCCATATTTTAAAACATTGAAACTATTTTTTACCTCTTTTATCATGACTTGGTAAACACTATAAAGTTTTTTTTTAAATATACAAATTTATCATGTAATGTTTTGGAAACAAATTTCAATTATCAATTTCTTACTTGATAATTTTGATTTATTTATTATCTAAATCAAATTATTTAGTGGTTCTACATTTTATTAGTATAAGTCATTAAAAGTTATTAACTTAAGCACTTATACCATTAATAATCAATATAACTAACCTGAATAGATAAGGACTACTGCAACTGCACGTGTTCTGTATAAATTTAAATTATTTATGCACATTTTAACATTACATATAAAATTAGTTATACGGAAATTGATTGAATCATTGTTTAATTATATTTTGTAATTTTAATTATATTCTGAACTGAAATACTTGACTATCAATATGCGCTTTTAATGAGATATTTTGTGATACATTGTAATGAGTAATAACTAATATTTATTAAATTATGACATACATGCAGCATTTTTTCGATTGTGTTTCCAAGAAGATATTTGTTTTCGATATTTTTATGTTTTCTCGACGTTTCAAGACATTCTTTATCGTTTGACACCAAATTTGGATATGTAGGTATGAATGAGGGCGTTATATGTATATGTATAGGCTAAAATATGATCTTGATTCGAAGTTTCTGAAAAAAAAAACTGCTGCATCGATTTCATTTATTTATTAGTTACTAAGATTCTTCTAGTTACTAACAAGATACGTGATGTTAGGTGGGAAAAAAGGGTTTATTTTAAATAATACCATGAATAGCTCCTTCAAAAGGAGCCAAGGTTCAAAACTCCTTAAAACTCGATCACGTGGTTAATGGATTTGGTTTACAAGAAATGTAAACATACATAAACAAAACCTAATCGATCCGAGTTAGAATGAAGGCTTTCCAGGACCTTATCTCATATTTTCAAGAATTAAACGGTATCGGTTATAAGTCACTGAAACTCATTGAATCGAAACTCAATGAGGATTTTTATTGATTAGTTTCGTGCGACAATCAGCCCGACAGTTTCTTTATGATTAGGAAAATTGCTAAATTTATCGTCAACGTTATTGCCAAAAATCCAGAACCGATCTTAAAAATTCAGAGATTGAAAGATAACAGGAACCAAGAATCAGGATTGGCCATTTCTTAGTAATCAATTTTGGAAATTTATTTTTAACTATTAACCCTTTCCGGCGCCAAAATACATACTAATTCCGGAATTAGCGAGTGGAAAGGGTTAATATAAGCGTACGAAAATTGATTTAATTACAATATCTAATATAATTTTTAATGTTTAGAATAATGGTCCAGTAACGCTCTTATCATAATTTAGTTTTATATATGTATATTAAATTTCATATGTATGCTTAGAAATAAATCTTCTGAAACAATATACTGACTTTTTATTGGATAAGTTGATTATTCACATATTGGAAAGTTCATGTAATTTGTCTTCAAATCTCACTTACTCCTAGGTCTAATTTTAAATACACATTTATTTATATTCCAAATTTTTTTTGCAGGTATTAGGACATCTAGATGTTTTACGTCTTTGCTGCAGAAATTGCAGCGGGGGAACTACCACAAATTTGTACTCAATGGACACTGTCCAACGAGCCCTTCAACAAGCTCACACAAATAGTTCAGAATCACAAAAGGTAATAATGATATTCTTAACTTCTTTTACTTCTTCATTTTTTACTTTTATGGTCGTTATCACCAATTTTTCTGATCTCTCTGAAGATTGGGAGATATATTTTTCTGAATCCAATGATAAATGTATGCTGCTTCAGTAGTTCTGGTTAAGCCAAATATATTTTTTAATATTTCTGAAATTATTATTCTATTTTACAGAAACAATTCAGCGAACTTTTTGCGCTGGCGGAACCAGAAGAGAGTGCTCCACCAGGAGGCGGTAGTCGTGGCGGTTCAAGAAGCGTCAGCAGTCGAGGGAAAAAGGGCAGTGCTGGTGGTCAAACAAGAACCACGTCCAGAAAAAACGTTTTCAGAGCAGAATCTGATAGTTCATCGGAATCCAGTGAAGTACGTCATTCTGCATCATTTATAAATATAAAAATTAGAGTGGTGGTTAGAGCTATTGTATTTCAATCAGATACCCCGGGTTCAAAACCCGCTTCAGGTAACCTGATGTAAAGCAATAGTGACTTCGATTTTCACTTGGAAATATAGAAGGCAATATGTTTCCAAAGTGAAAATAGCCCTTACCTGGATTTGCTGCATTAATAAAAAACTCATTGGTATTACAGAAATTGCAATAATAATAAATCACATAGAGATAGGACAACTGTTTGGGTTGCAATCTATAAAAGCAATGTAGTTAAGTCGAATCATCACAAAAGCTAGTAGGACTTTTCTGTTGTTCATTGAACAATTCTGATCACTGTTCAAATAATAATAATAAACTACACTATTTTGCTATGTAATTCATGCACAAGCAACTAAACCATTAATTTATTAACCTTTGATCAATTAATTTAAAAATAATGAAGCTAAATGAAGAAAATCATAATAATGAATTAAATTCATAAATTTTATTATATCGTGCATGCTGATATACGAGGTCTGTTCAAAAAGTACCCGGAATTTTCGTTTTTTCAAAAAAATATTTATTTATTCATCTACATTAATGTGGTCCCCTTCAAAGTAGTCCCCCCCAGATATAATACACTTATGCCAGCGTTTTTTCCAATTTTCGAAGCACCCTTGATATTCACTTTTTGATAGGTCCTTGAGCACTCTCAGCGATTTTCTTCAATCGAGGAAAACCGCCGTCCTTTCATGGGTCTCTTCAACTTTGGGAATAGGAAAAAGTCACACGGAGCCATATCTGGTGAATTTTTGCACTTTGCAACACTTTATTTCATTTTTTACGCAAAATTTAATACAAATTCTTTGACTTTTCAATTCTTCCATTGTAAAAATCGCCGAGCTCAGAAAAACACGTCGAACCTTAGCGACTACCACAGACAAAGTAAACAGTGAATATAGCTGAAAATTTCATCATACTTTAGGGGCATGTATACCAACACAATAAAAAAAAAATTTTGACAATCAGACACTCCAGACCCGCGAAATTTAATTATTAGTAATTCCGGGTACTTTTTGAACAGACCTCGTACTATGCATTTTAAAGTTAAATTATCAAGTAACTTTTATAAATAGTAAACTTTTCTATTCAATAAATAGAAATTAGAATTAATATTAGCTTCTTTATTTATCTAATAATATTTGTTTAACTTTAATTATTCTTTATATTTTATAGGAAGAAGAAGTGGTGAAACCTAAACAAGCAAAGCGACGAAAAAAAGCGCTTTCTGATACTGATTGACATTTAAATTGGGAAGACGGTTGATGTGACTGAGTTATCGTCATTTGAATGCCTCATTATATAGTGATTTATTAGTAACTAACGATTTTCTTTTAAGAACGGTTATTTAAATTACCAAAGCGCCTTCATAAACAAATTAAGAAAAACAAACAACACAATTAGAATATAACCGCTGTATGCGATCATTGGACCGAGGATAAACTTATTTAATATGTACATTATCAAAAGATGTGTCAGTGCAATTGACAGGTGATCTAAAACAATTTTTTAAATGACTGTGCTGAAATTTAAAAGAATGTTTTACTATTTATAAGATAATTAGGGATTTGTTTATATACTGTGTGAACAGTAAATTTTTTTTATTTAAATTACACATTGATTTTTTGTTCAAATTGTAAAATATTAATGTTGATATTCTGTTTATTTTTATAATGTATGATTGTATAATGCCTGATGAGAGTATGCAAATTTGTATATTTTTGTCTTTAGTCTATTTAAGCTATATTATATGAACATTTGCTTATTGTACATTTATGTAAATAAAGTATGCATATGTTTTTTTTAAAAAAGAAATTGGTTAATATTACTATAATTTATATTATCATATGAACAAATTGATAATTGATTCATACTATATTATTAGATGATTATTGAAAATTAAACATTTGGTTTTAAACTACAATGCAGATATAATATCAGTATAAATTAAATATAAATCTACTAACTATAAAGCTGTTTCATCATTATCTTTATCCATAATTATCGTTTTTATGTAATATCAATAATATTTGATCTTACTATTTAAAAAATAATAATCTTATATGCTAAAAAAATAAAATTTTATATATTAAATTACATTTTTTGGATAAATGTAGTAAAACCGTTAATTTTATTTATCATCCGTTTTTAATTATATAATCCATGACAATCAAGTCATTGACAGCGACAACTTCACTATGAACTCATTGCGCCAAGCTTCACGTTTAACATATTTGCCGGCAATGGCAATCTTTTAACAAGATAAAGATAATTTTGACGTATTTAGTTTTATAATTTTATAATTTTGCCTATGAAGATTTTACCCACATGTAATTACTTATAAGCGTTCAAAGAAGATTCAGTCTGTGATACATTAATTTCAAGTTGTAAGAATATTTATTTGAAAATTATTTATGTTTTATTTACAATCAACAGTTATCATTTACTCTTTATGTAATATAATTACAGTTTTTTATTATATACGTTCCAAGCAGAGTTTGATATTGGTTCCATTATCTTTTATATTTTCTTAATATTTGTGTATAATGAGTAAATAGTAAATTATATAGTTGTAATTATGGATCATGTGAGTGTTGATGAAGGAACTAAAATAGAAGCTTCTGTGAACAATAGCTTTGGAAGTTGTCAACAACCTCAAGGTAAAAAGAAGTTACAATGTAATATATTTTTTATAATTTTTTGTATATCATATTTTATTCTTATACTCTAAAACTTTTATTCTTTTTAAATCATTTAAAAAAGGAATATATCTGATTATCAATTGAAACTAACATTCAGTATAAGGTTATTTGCATGTACATTGTACAAAATTATATATAACCAAAGAAATTCATATTTTATGAATAATTTTAATTTGTTTTAGTTGGGCCCAATGAATCAAGTGAAAGTATGAAACTGTTTTTAGAAGAGTCACAAGGAGATCTAACACAAAATAATCACAATGACATAAATACTGAATCAGATTCAAATACAATTCCAACAGGTACGAAGCATTATAAATGGTTTGTTTTATGTTAGTTTAAATTGACAGCTTGCAACTATACGAGACATATGCACAAGCACAAAATAATGTTAAATGTTCTATGTTATACACAACCTTGTTCTAAACATGTCTTGTACGGTTGTAGACCGTCACATGAAATGAACCTAAAAATTTAATTCCACACTGATTGTTTATAATCTTTTTAGTCCCCAAGAAAAATGATGTCCTATCAGAAACATTTTCTGACGAAAATGCGAAACAAATTGATGATAACAAATTGAATACCGACATGAAATTAGATACCAATTTTGATGCTGATACACAGATTGAAGAAATTGACAAATTTATAATGAATGGAAATTTATCAGATATCACAGAAAATGGAATTTCTGAAAAACAAGATGATGCTGAAAATAATATGACTACAGTAAAAAATACAGACACAGATCAAGATAAAGGCAGTGGCACTATTACAACAAGCACTGATAAAAATCAAACCGATACTTCTGAAGAAACTGATTTATATCCTGCGACATCAACAGATACCTTTACATCGAATCCATCTGCTTCGTCTTTATCAACAGGTTAGTACACAACAAGTTCCATTAGATAAACTTTTTACTATTCATTATGTAATTTCTTTGCATATAAATATTTTCTGATATTTGCAAACTACTTTAAAGGCAAATAATTATTATTTAGTGGTCCATGGGTTTTAAAACAGTAATTTGATGGGTTAAAATATTATATTAAATAATTATTCGCATATTTTTATATATATATATATATATATGTAAGTATGTATTATTTGTGTATTTTATCAATTTATACATTTTTCTCTTTAGAGCTATCAAATAATGATCTAAACAACACTTTACCAATTGAGACCACACACTTAACAAGCACTAATTCTTCATATAATGCTTCTATTTCCGAAGCCAATGATTTAATTACTAAAGATACAAGTGCAAAATCAAATGATGTACCAGAAACTATGAATCGTAAACGGAAGATAGAGGATGAAACTTCTGATGTTATAAAAATAAAACGAATTTCTGATAGCATTGATAATAAGGATAATATGTCAACAAGCATAATTTCATTTTCTGGAGATTGTCAAGAAAATGATTCTTCAAGTATTTCATTAAATATTCCAGAAACATCATTAGATACCAGTAATAGTCGAACATTAATTAATGGTGAAAGTGTTTGATGAATTCTTCAAACAATTGTTTTTCTTCAGCAAACCTACAACAAAAGATGATTCGGATATGGCTAGTTTCTCTGGAAACGAAACACCTGAGCTTCATAAAAGAGAATCTTTATTTTTAAATAATTCAGAAGGTTTGAACATTGAAGGTTCTTCTTCTCCAGACCAAGTACCTACTTTTGAGTTGATAACAAGGTTTGATGAAAGTAATGACATTGTTTCTATGGTTATAAATCGAACTGATCGAAAATATTTAGATTATAATGCTGATTGGAGTCAAAACAGTTCACCTGGTAGTGTTACTAGTACTGGTGTTTATCAATTATCTGATCATAAACGTATTTCAACAATGTCATCTAGCACAACAAGCAGTGTTTATAGTACAAAAGCTCCAGAAAATTTTGTTATACCAGCTGTACCGTTAAGAAAGACTGATGTACATAAACAAGGCATTAAAGGACATAAAGAATTGTTTAAGCAAATTAAAGAAATTTTCAAGGTAGCATGTAGTGATTTATCTTCAGATGATTTTAATCATCAAATGAAAAGAGGATAAAAGCACTATGTCTGATAACTGTTCAATGATTAAAATGAAATCCCTTATCAATGAAGCAGTGGACAATCACTATGAACTAATCAATTCACCAGAGATGATAAGTGAATATGTTGAAACCGTTTCTAATACCAATTTTTCCATGACCCTAAAAAGAAAAAATTCCAGTTCGAGTTACACCAGCTACGCCATCACTAAATACTACTGCATCAGAACAAAGTTCAGAACAAGATCCTAGAATAATGCAAAGAGTTTTAGCCAGGTGGGTAGATAAAAAATATTATGCTGGTCGAGTTGTAGATGTAAAAGATAACAATAAATTCACAATCCGATTTGATGATGATCATACCAAAACGCTTTTAAATGAGTATATTATATTTGGTGAACAAAATATATTGCCCTTGCATGGTCAATCTATTTATGTTATGTTGAACAATGAAGAAGAGTATGTACCAGCAATTGTTACATCAATATTGGAGGAATCGAATAGGGTAAAATACATTGTCCAAACAGATGGTGGTGAGAGTGGATCTGTTATGGCATCTGATATATATTTGACGGAAGATCAAGCCAGAAGTATAAAAGAAATTCATACGAGTGTTAGCAAAGTTGAAAGTAATAGCACACCAAAGAAAATGAATGGTCAAGATGTGAGCTTGGACAATATAATACATGGCCCAAGGTAATTATTTAAATAAGCTAAAATAATAGTAATAATTTCTAGCTTTAAAACTTATCTAGTAATGTTTAAAAATATTTTAATTCAATACTTATTCAATTCTTTTAGCTAAGTGCTTGGCTTAGTTTTTTAAGAAAATTCATTCTATTTTACTAAAGATGAAAAATGCTACTTACAACTAGTTAGATTATTTTTATAAGAAAATATCTATACTCTTCTTATTTGCATTTATTTCAAATTCCAGTATTGTTTAATTAATTTATTATTTATAAAATTATTTATTTTCCAATCAGTTAATATTCTATAATATCAATTCAACTTTTACTTTGCAGAAGAAGCAGACGCCAAGTTACAATGAAAGCTATTACCCCAAAGGCAGGCTCCTCTGGGCTGAATAAACATAAAAGAACAGGAGGCAGAGGAAGTAAACAGAGAAAGTTCAGTGAGAGCAGTGATAGATCGATAACCGAACCTCCCAGTCCTGCAAGTTACAGAGTGTGATACAGCATCAGTGTGATGAAGCAGTCTCTCTGTTAAGGTCCATTGAGGAAGTTCATGGCGTTGAACCAGAAGTACAGAAGACTCCAAGAAAATTATTGGTGTTTTAACAGGTAACAAAAATAATAAATGACTCATTTGTAACAAATTATGTATTATATATAATATTTCTGATACAGGGCCGTTTCCTGTAAAAGGTTGCGGGGCGCCTGTCTGGCAGGCGAACTTCTAAAGTGACTGGAAGCCTTTATGACAACAGCGATCCAGATACTGTAAACCTGCTAGGTCCAATTCCTACATCGAATAAGATTTTTCAAAAGAAGTGCTTCTTGTTAACATGTACAGAAGATGTTTCACAAAAATTGAAATTGGTAAGTCCATAAATTGTCATATTAACTTTATTAATTAAATAAGCATTTCTTCACGTTTTGAAGGTTTCTGAATATTTTGGCATACCTCAGAAAAAATGAATGTCTGTGTTTGGGTTATTATTTTTTTTATTTTTTTTTTGTCTGGGTAAGTCGGTCTCAATACCGCCCTGGTATTGCCGACTAAAACCTCTGCTTTGCCCTTGCTTCTGGTCCCCATGGAAACGCCGTTAGGCATTACTTTATGGGGGGAGGATCTAGAATGTTATCAATCTTAACCTGATTTTACTCATCTTTTAAATGTATGTGTTTTTGTATGTTCCGCATTTTTCCTTCCACGTTTCAAAAACATTCGATTCCTATTGATAAGGAAATGTGCTGATTAATTTTGGGAAAGGCAGGTCGGCTGTTACGGAGATAGGGAGCAGAGTGCAGAAAGTACAAATTGAGTTTTGAGTGAACGGAGTATCCGACTTGAATGATCTAAAAAACATTCAATTTGTAATGATGGGAGAAGAGGTGATTAGTTTTTGGTAAAGGCAGGTCCGGCCATTTCGAAGATACAGAGCTAAATGTGCAAAAAATGGCAGTTTTTGAGAGAGCTAAACGTTCGATTTGAATAATTCCAAGAACTTTTTGCTTGTTTCAACAAATAATCGCTTTTGATTTTTTTTTTTTTTTTTTAATTCAGATTTTAATTTTAATTCTGTTCTGATATACTTTAAACCAATAATTTCAACTTTGCAATCAGTTCATATAATTCTTATAAAAATTAGACAATTTACAATATTGATAATAATCTATTTGAAAACATTTAATATCCTCAATCATTTCATTACGGTATGGGAGTAGTTGCAGCAATTTGCCTTAAGGCACGATGCCATACACTACTAGTTGTTTTTCATTTTATTAACTTCCCGTAGGGCAAGTTATAGTATCGCAAAAAAATCGAAAATGAAAATTTTTATATATCTTACGTTTCAGAGGTTTCTGAACATTTTGGCATACCTTAGAAAAAATGGATGTATGTGTGTGTGTGTGTGTGTGTGTGTGTATGTGTGTGTGTATGTATGTATGTATGTATGTGTGTGTATGTATGTGCGGATACAAATTTTCGTCGACGATTTCGGGAACACGGATCAACCGATTTGAATAATTCAAAAAACATTCGATCCGTATTGATAAGGAGACGTGCTGATTAGTTTTTGGCAAAGGCAGGTCAAGCCGTTCCGAAGATACGGCAAAAAGTTCCGAAAACGGTAACTCAGTTTTAAGAGAACGGAGCGTCCGATTTTAATAATTCAAAAAACATTTTATTTGTATTGACAAGATGAAGAATCGATACAACTTTATGAAGGTAGGTCCAGCGGTTTCGGAGATATAGAGGAAAAGTAAAAAAATGAGCCATTTGGCGGTCAAAAATGATCATAGACAATGCACATCAAATTATCAGACATTTTATAGAGAGATTTTAACAATAAGTATACATTTTGTTAACATTCCTATCGGTTCCGTACCCAATGCTTATGCGTTAGACAGCGACGCGGCGCTTACGCGCTTTATATTTTGTCCCTATGTAGTTAAAGCAGTACGATTGCTTTGAAAAAAAAGTTCAGATCTTCCACAATATGTCAAAATAAAGAAAAAAAAATTTTTTCAAAAAAAAACAAATTTTTTAAAAAAAAAAATTTAAAAAAAAAATTTTGTTTTTCAAAAAAACAATTTTTTGTCCAATTTATAGTTTCTCAAAAATCTTATTTTTTCAAAGTAATTTTTTTTCAAAAATGTTAATCGTTTTAAAAAAAAAAATAATAATTTTTGGTACGGGAAGTTCCAGCAATTTGCCTTAAGGCACGATGCCCTAATTGCCTTAAGACAGAATTCCACTTACAGCTAGTTATTGATTCATTTTGTTTTTCCAGGCCAGACAAGAGGCATGTGAAGCGAGTGGAACTGATTCAGAATATAGTACAGATGCAGAAAATTGTACTGTACCTTTCATGAAAGAAAGATTGAGGCACCAGTTAGAGGCTGGTGGAGGTTTGGGTTTAGTCACTTTGAAGAAAATACCACAAAATAAATACCGTACTTGCATTCTTATTGCACCGAGACCTTGTCACACGGCCAAGTATATTCAGTGTTTGGCAGCTAATATCAAAGCTGTACTTCATACTTGGGTTGTTGACTGTTGTAAATCAAACAAATTATTACTTGAGTATGATTTGCCTGCCGGATGGTCCATTGAAAGAAAGTGCTATGTTAGATACCAAATAGGAAAAGAAAGATATATGAGGCTATCAAGCAACCCTTCAATGATTTTCTTATATTATTGTGCAGCGATAATGACAATTTTCTAAAGTTCTGGGGGCGTCGTGTGTGTAAATCTGCTGGTGCTAGTACAAAAATTATTGAAAATGAAGATTTAGGAACATCAGTTGCAGTGTAATTGTTACTGATTCTGATTGCCCTCTGAAAGTTAGAAAACAAGCACAAAATTTAGATATACCATTAGTGTCTACAACATGGGTAGTACAATCCTTAATTATTGGCCAAGTTTGTAATTATGATAATAGCATCAAATATGCACATAATTATGTGGATACAGATTAATTTTATAATTAATGTGTCCGATTCAATGTTCAAATGTATATAGAATTTTATATTCATTTAATACTCTCTTATTTTACTATTTATTATTATGTTCTTAAATTTTTTTAATCAGAAGATATTGTAATTATCTTTAGAGAATAATGTTATTATGTTTTGTGTATTAAGATTTTTCCAGTGATGAATTGTTCAATAGTTATTAAAAGAATTAATATTTTTAATTTTCAAGTTTTATTGTTTTACTTTATTAAAAAAAATAAAATGAAAATACTGGTTTGTATTAAAACAAATAATATTTTCTAAATAATTCATTAACAGCTAATACATGGCTATGTGCCAGGTAGACTTTCAAACTGATAGGCAGATAAGCTGGTGAACAAGTAGGGAGGCAAACAGGTGGATGTGTAGACTTAAGCGGACAGACAAACAGGTAGACGGGAAAAAATTGTAGAGAAGTAGACAGGTGGACAGGTAAATTATATATGAATTATAAAAATATCAATTAAATAGATTATTTATTTCGGTTTATTATTCGGTCTCCTTATTTTTTTTAACGTAGATCCCGTAAGTATGCTATAGTAATCGCAAAAAAATCGAAAATGAAAAATTTTATATATCTTTACGTTTCAAAGGTTTCTGAATATTTTGGCATACCTTAGAAAAAATGGATGTGTGTGTGTGCGGATACAAATTTTTGTCGACGATTTCGGGAACACCGATCAACCGATTTGAATAATTAAAAAAACATTCGATTTGTATTGATAAGGAGACGTGCTGATTAGTTTTTGGCCAAGGTAAAATTATTTTAAAATTAAAAAAAACATTTTCTTTCAAAAGGTCATTTTTTTTTCAAAAATTTAAAATTTCTCAAAAATCATAAGATTAAAAAAATTTAATCTTTTTTTAAAAAAACCCTTGGTACGGGAAGTTCCAGCAAATTGCCTTAAGGCACGATACCATACACCACTAGTTATACATAAAAATAATTACATCAATTTGAAAATAGTGTTTTGGAAGCGTTATATGCGTCCCACAGGTTGGAAATCACAGGTGTAAGCATTTGTAAATGTTGACATCGTTTGACATTTCCTTTTAGGTTACTTTTACAAATTTATTATAAAAATGGGTCGAATTTATATTATGTATCAAGTTTGTGGTGTTATTTAATAAAATAATGATTAAATGGAAATTATTTGTGGCTTGTGAATGAAGTGAACACATTAGATTCCTTCTAATATTTGCTACATAAGTTACCTTAATATGAAAGAATATAACAAAACTTCGAAAGATGAAGGCATTAAACCTAGGAAAATTCATCCTCAAAATATTGTCAAACGATTAATTAACAGGGAAATATTTGGCGATAGAAAACCAGGCACTCAAATTCATATGACTCGAAAATTTTATCAGAATGTTTTTCCCAATTTAACTATCGTCAATGTTGAAAAGCCGCCTTGTTTTCTAAGAAAATTTAGTCCGGATGGAAAACATTTTATTGCTTTTTCGGCGGATCAAACATCAGTAGAAGTCTACCAATATCAAGGTGCAGGTGCTGCTGCAGATTTGATCCAGGATTGCACGGGAGACTATGTTCCGAACAAAAATGAAGGTAGTCCTTTTGAGATCAGGAACAAAGTGTTTGATAGGTTTTTTAAGGTAATAAATCTATATCTCGATGTTATTTCAATGTAATATATCTTTCTAGCAATCATTTGTTTTGCTATCTCATAATTTAAAAGAATATTGATATTGAAATACTATTAACTTTGATTGATTATGTAATTTACAGATAAAGCATGTAGTTAATGTTTGCCAAAGTGGTAAACAATTGAATAGAGAATGTAGTTTGTTTACTGATGATGGACGATATGTTATTGTGGGCTCTGCATGTTTTATTCCTGATGATCTTCGTCCTGCATTTTATGATATATATACAAGTAATGAAGCTGTGACACCAACATTAAGGTAATTGATTATACTTAAATATTATTTATCCTTTCTAAATATATATTTATTTGATTTATTTATTTATTCTTTCAGATCTCCCTTAGAGGATTATTCACTCCACATAATTGACATGATTGAAGGCAGATTGTGTGATTCTAGGCATTTTAAAGTTGATAAAATAATGTTATCACACAATCAAGGATTATATTTGTACAATAATAAACTGGCAATTCTCTCTATACAACATCAATTGATACATATATTTCAAGTCGTGGATGGAATGTTTATTGAAATTAGAAACTATTGGTAGATTTTGCTATGAAGATGATAATTTTCAAATAATGGCAGTGTACGGTCATATGCTACACAATACGCTTTCAAAGAAATATTATATGTCTTTAAAAACACAGATTACTAGTTTATTTATATAAGCAAGCAATGAATTTGTCTTGCAAATGAAAAACTACCATACTTTGCGAAAGTTCTATCAAAACTTTGAACAATTTAAATCTTTGAGAATGTGGAAAATGCAATTACT